AGCTTACAAAGTCGGCTCAACACTCCTCGTTAAGAGCTGCAAACCTTTTAAGTACACCCTGTAAGTGTATTCGGCTAAATAAAGCAGACCCAAACCGCACGCGTCCCATGCTTTTCAGATTTGACAGCTATATAATAGTCGGACAATTTAGGAAATATGGGGATATTTTAGCCTCTTCTACAAAATTCAAGAATGTTAAGATAGCCTCTGACAAAATCCCCAACTAACGACAAGTAGCTAAGAACACCTCGGATACACAGACGATCATGCTGCAAAACATGAATGATGTCGGTGCCGAAGTATCAAAGGCCACTGAAGCACAAAATGGCACTCGCATAGTACTAGGTGAGCAAATGATACGGAAAAGTGAAGTGGAACCTAAAAGGAGCAGTAACACTGCGGTGAACTCAAAGTTCATGGAAGCACTCCTAGGAAACCGGCCGACCCCATACATGAAGTAGACGTGGATGTTCCCACCAACGATAACCTGCAAATGTCGACAGATCGCACTCCACCTAGGGACAAGCAAGATAGTCTCACAGTAGAAACCGGAAAAAAGTCCCCGAAACCCAAGGGCTCTCCTCAGGCGTCCAAATATCTACATCGCGATAAGCCAAACAGATACAGTGATGGCCTAGAAAAGAACTATGCACGCATTACGACAGGTCCCATAAAGGAGATTTAACACGTGAGTAAAAGTAAACACGCTGACACTGACACATCTCATAATCCTTCCGAACATAAAATAGGCAACCAAGGGTTAGGGATGATACAAGAAAACTTACTAACTATCCTCAAAACCACCCTAGTTTACTGAAAATTATGCTCTAAAATGCTCGATCTCTCACTAAGAAAGCAGCCTCATTTTACAGCCTGGTAAACATGGAACGGCCAACACTCATCCTTGAAACTTAAATCTGATCAACTAATGATATACCTGACACAAAGCTAGTAATTGATAACCACGACATCTACAGGAATGACAGAGTCAACAGAAGAGGAGGCGGGTGTGTAATATATGCCTCTAAATCAAGTGACTCCACTGCTTTTATCAACCGAACTATCGAAAAACTCCCAAAATCTAAGTGGATAGGCCTCAACATGAATGAAAATAAAATTCTCGTGGGATTTATATACAGAGACCCTAACAGCCCTTAAATGACTGATACAGCTATTGGAGAAATAATAGAGTATGTACCAACGCTGGAATTCGACTATAAAGTAGCCTGTAGCGATTTCAACCTCCCCGGATTGAACTTAGATAGCTGCACTGGACCTGTAACCCACGACGAGCTCCTAAAGGCTATAGATGCTGGGGAAACACAAGAATATTGGGTAAAATCTTCATTTCAGTGCAACGCAGATTACATACATGAACTAAGCACAGTCCAAAATGAAAGCCTGCCTTTGGGATGTATCTCCCATTAGTCGACGGAAACTGCTTAGTGTCCAAAATAAGTCACAATGAAATCCTTTCTCAATTCAGGCAAACAGAACTGGACGCCCACATCTAAAGTTATCCAGTATCACTAGCTGGAAAGAAGAGTATCTGCATGGTCATAAGTGGATGAGTGGTTTTAATTTCCCTCTCTTGTATCTACAACGAATTCCCACAACTGACTATGCAAATCTATCTGGATGACTTCCGAATGCAACTCCATCAGCTTCCCAATAACAGCAATTCGTATTTCGTATAAACTGCTGTTTACAAGAAATGCATGTCGTTCAACTAATTGAGAGACCTCATTACAACTTGACACTCCCTAAAGTTATAAAGATTAAATTCACCGTCGCAAAGTAGGAATAATTATTCATTTGCATAAATTAAGCATTTATATGATTAACAAGTATGACCATATATGATTTAAGTATTCAGTAAATTCAGTTATCATGGTTTACACTTCTTCTGAAGTGTGGAGCACAATGATGGTACGAAAAATGTCATGGAAATGACGCACATGTAATATCGTTAACTGATAACTGTGCCATCGAATCACACAACCAGAATGCATTTATCAGCACTTTGCTAGTGGTCTGAATAACAAAAATATTACGCAGAAGCAAACATTAAAAGCTGTCACTAGGAAAACTAATTTGCATGGCTGTTGGCAGACACTTGAACCGTGATCATTTTATCGAACTGCAAACACCCTATATATTCCCAGGTATCTCCTTCCATCTTTCTGAGTAGGGCAAGAAGCAATTATAGAGGACCTTCCCGTTCATTTAAATTGCCTGAACTGAAGTCACATATCGACGCAACTTGTTGAACGATAGAAAACCTTGGGGTAACAAGAGGCCGATTCAACATTTTGAGGACTTCATTAGCCCACATCCACCATTCCACTGAATATCAAACAATGTACCCTCAGGTTACTATATAAGCTCGTTGGACGCTTAACCGCTCACCTAAAATCGGTGAGATCCCTTCAAAGCGACAAATGAAAGTGCATTGTTGAACTCGTGGTACTCTATTTAGCACGCATTGGTATGAAGGTAGTTTTTTACTCCTTCACGTTCCAAGTGGAACATAGGGCTTCAAGCTAGAGGCTTGAAGTTTCTGTAGCAGCGTTTATTTTTGCAGGATGGGGTTGCTAGCCTCATGCTCAACCTTTCCTCTTCACCAGCTTTAGTTCTGGCTTATCGAGGTAAAGGAGTGCGCCGGCGGCGGGGATCGAACCCCGGACCATGTGCATGGTCGGCGAGCGTCCTAACCGCTACGCCACCGACGCACAGAAGAAGGTAGTGCTGGACACTAAATCACAAACTTAATGCGGGAGAGTACGTTATTGCATACTAACATATTGCAGCTACTATCAGCGTTGATCTACAATTTAATCTTAAACTTATATACAGTGGCCGTCATTACCAATCTAAACAATGAACGTCCTTTAATTTCCCCTTCAGTATGTAGTGTGAAAACATTAGACCTAAGTTTGCCCTATATGCTGATTATAACACTGCCATCATAGTTTCCATGCTTAGACCAGTATAGTTAGCATTAGACATTGCAAATGTATACTGTCATTCCAGGTAGTCTCCAGCTCCTTCTTGTATATACTTTGTAAATGTACTTCCAATGACGTACTATCCATAATTGTATTTTATGTTTCCCAGGGCGTTCTTCTCTTCCTGAAATAACTTTTAATCACGTGGCGGCATGGCACTTACCCGAATATACGCTGTTGACCGGTTGACCATAACTATCAGCAAGAAATGGAACGAAGTTTGGACTGTCGCTCAACTTTGATGGTGAAGGGTTTACAATTTAACGTCTATACGAACCTGTTCTGATTGCTTGTACAGTGATCCAACAACTTAAAATCTTGAAAAAGCATTAATTTATGATACTTCAGGATTGTATTTATAACATAACTGATCGTGCCTGTAAAAATGGCATGCACTTCGTGTAAACACTAGTTTATACGAAATATAAATTATTCTTATTATAAAATTATTATTATCCCTAGAATATTAAGGAACAAAAGGGGCTATCACATAATCCATTTAGTCAGTGATACTGTCAGAAGAATATACAGGCATATAGTCGCTTAGGAACGCATCATCGAGGCTTTCATTTCCTGAAAATCCGATGGTCCGTGATTCATATTCCCCGGTTTGTCATTGCAAATAGACAGACTGATCGTTGAAGGTGAGATGGCTGAAGCTCAAAGGAGTCCACGAATTTTTTCATCTCTTACAGATATCAGTCTAATGCATTGAGAATATCTATATGAAGAAACTGTCTAGCATACATGGAATTGATTGCATGCGCTGCCATAGGTGCTTTGACACTCAGGTGTTTGCTCTGCTGTTCTGCCTCGGTGGTTTATTCAGGACATTGGAAACTGTTTCATCTCATATAATTTTAACTGCCTTCTGAAAGGCTGTTTAAGAAAGTTACCCGAAATATTGGAATTTTGTTTACGTCAACTGGGAATGGTGTTGGCAATGGTGCCACCACTCCTCACGACATGAAGATGCTCCTACAACCTGGGGTAGCAAGGATGAGTACTAAACGAGATGTAGAGTTGAGTGAGAAGAAAGCAAAAGCTGGTCGATGTCACCACATAAAGAGCGACATAATTATAAGTTTTTGCGATGCTTATTCACTTTGTAGATTTTGAATTTTGGTAATACTTTAGCGAATATTATTGTGGGTAGAAACATCGATAGTTGAAGTAAAAATACCTTGTGAATTTCGCCAGAACTGAAATTTATCATTGAATATAGGCACATTATGAAGATGCGTGCCAACTTAACTCAATTCACAATATAAAAGTTTCTGCAGGCACTTTTAATAGCTGTGGCAGAGATAAAATTAAAGAATAGCGAGGGAAGTGAATGAACGCACCTCTAGAATCTGAGAGTGTTGACGTTAATGGATAGCACGATTTATACTAACGCGGGATCTAATACCCACAGCTTCTATAGTATTCGTTCCGCGTAGACCAAAGGCAAAGCGCCAGAATCGATCGGCCGAATTGCTAAGTATATTTCAGGACCAAATCGGAGTGCTTAATTAACTAGGAATCGTGCACGAACGAACGAACGTAACACGATGGCGTGCCAAATGACGTGGACGCTTGACTGTAAGCCTTCAGCTAAACAAGTCGCCTTAAACAATGATGGTCATCATCCAATGTTCATTGATGAATGCTGCGGTTAATAATTTCGGAGAATTACCAACTACTACACACCAGTGTCCTCCAAACTCATAATTAGAGCAGCGTAGTGAAGCCAAGTGAACACTCTTGTAAAATGGGCAAGAATGTTAAACAGAATACTCTTCTTTATACTTTTCCCCTTATATGAATATTTCATTTCTCTCGCCCAAATTCACCCTGTTGGTCCTGCAGGTTCTTGCACTGGCAGCTATTCAGTAACTTTGCTCGGAACGCAATGACCGAAAAAATTTCTCACTGTCAAGAAAATGAGCTAAAACATTAACATGTTTGGATTTAGATTGGATACGAAAATTTTGAAAATAGATTTCACTAGCGGACTGAGTAAAATTGACGCTACTTACAGTCCGCTCACATGATTGGCTTGCTTTCGGTGTACTGTATTTTCTTTCTCACTACTTCTGTAGCTCCACTATTTACCGATCAAAATTTAAAATACAATCTAAAAATCAAGGGGACAGCTGTTTTAGATGAAGTAAATTCTTTGGGGTCATATATGCTTTTCTTTCAACTATAGTTGAATAGTGCAGCGTTAAATGTATTTTCAAAGTCTGGCCAGAAATTTTCTTGCTCTTGGTCCAGTGAAAATCACAGCACAAGTGCAAATACAACTCTGAATTTATCAAACAGTGTTGTATTTTCTCTACTTCCGTCACTCAATGAGTCCGACTGTCTAGCATTGGTATGTTGTGTACGCATAGCGAATAAACCCGTAGACAAAAGGCTGGTGGACTTATGAATTTTGTTTCCGCAAGCATGTTGTTCAATACCACGAAGGATCGAGAAAGTCTTCTGAGACACTTCTCGGTGTGTACGAACGTGATTATGATTGGGATAACTCTTCACAGGTATTCATTGTTTTTCGTATATATCTCTTCCTAGAATGAAAACAAGCCGAAATATCACAGCCAGTTTTATGTAAATGGTAGTGTTTGTGACTTAACCGGCAGACATCGAAAATCGGAGGTGCAGTTTTTGTGCGCTGATACAAACAATTTTCATATTATTTCGGTGGATGAACCTGAAACATGTGTGTATTTGTTAAAAATATCATCTCCATCTTTGTGCACCAATGAACAATTCACTTTAGAAGCTCCTGTCAAAACACAGGATATTATGTGTCATCCTGCTCTGAGTGAATCTGATTATCGTAGCTACCAAGCCTGTGAGTTAATCATTTTCTTTATTATTATGTCGAGCATTGTAGTCTTCTAAGTTTGATCTTACAAGCCGTATACACTTTCTTGTATAAGTTATTTCACTGATGAGATTGTGTATCATATGGGTTCATTGTAACTGCGTTAGATCTTTGGATTTAACTTTTGTGTTGATATATGCAGATAGCCGTTTCGCACTTACACAATAATCTGTTGGCATGTAGATTCCACTACGCCTACTTCGGATTGGCAGACTGACTTTTATCATCAGCGCACGATAAGTGTCTGACACATCAAAAATTGCTTTGGGTAACTGATTTCTAATTGATTTTCGTTTTACTAAATCCTCCCCCATGTTTTCAGATATCATATGTGCTAATAACACTACAAGTAATTAAATTAAAATGATTTATTTGTAATGTTTTTGATATTCTATATTGTCGAAACGGCGATATTTTGGTGTTAATGCTATAAAGTGTACTAAATTGTTCTCAAGAATCTCATTGTATGATTTTGCTTGTTTTAAGTGTTAAAATGTGGAAGGAAATTAACTTCATATGTGCTGCTGAAGTCTTCCCAGTTAAAAGACTGTTTTTTAGATAATAATGTTTCCAAAGGTTATTATATATCACGATAGTGTAGTCAAAGACACAGTGAACTCAGAAGAATCTTATTCCATTTTATCACAATTTTGTTGTAAAATCTTTAACTGTAGTTTTATCATCTCATGTACTGACATTTTACATTGTTCTTGTATATCTGCAGCAATAAAATCAACGAATTCAAATATTCAGTCACCCTTGGTTGAAAGTCCAAAATATGCTCCAAGATCTCTGAAGCGTAATTTCACTTACAAAAATATGCATGATGTAAGTATATTGAAAATGTTACCCTACTGCATCACTTAATTTTTAAACGAAGTGTATTTGTTTACTTCCCATATCTCTGATAAAATAACATAAAAGATGTAGCACGTTTTGCTTTCGTATTTTGAGGACTATGTATGCAGTATACTTGATCGAAATTCCAGTACTGTATATTGCTATCTTGCGAAGTCAGAGACCTTCATGGAGTGCATATCTGCTTAAGTTACCACCCGTAATATCGTCTCAGTAAGTGAAGTAAGACTTCACTCAACAATCGCGTGCATATTCATCTGCTTAAGAAAGAGCTACATATGATGGTACTGTCTGACTGCCATCGCAGTAGTAGGTGGAGTAGCATGTGAATAAGTAACTCAGCGATTAGAAGTTGAGTAACTAAACGAATGAGTCAACCTTATTATATCATTACTTTGGAAACCTGTGCAACTCAGATTCCTGAACCGAATCTTAAATATAGATCATAGTTACGGAAATGACCATGATGTGGTTTTCGGCATAGTATGGTATTTTTAGGTCCTTCATGTATTAATTTACTCCCTGTGCTTATTCTACCGTGAATCACTCCTCTCTGAGCAGATGTTCCACTATGCTTGCTGCGACTACTGCCATTATATTACTATTAACGTTCTTGATTTCTAGCTTTTACACTTCTCCTAGACTCCTTATTTGATTATCCTGTTCAAAGCTTTGGGATTCATTTTAAGTCACCAAGTTTTCTTACTTCTTTCTTCAACATATCAGTAGTTATATATGACCTGCCGTAGTTATAATAGTAATTGCTTCGTAAGATGGCACCTTAAAATAAAAAGTAGTTTTGTTGAGTTCACATATACTGAAATATCACGTTTCCCTAGGCTACGTTCGGAATTCATTGACTTGAAGTTTTATCATATATAGTCTAAAGTTAAAATTAGTGAGGAACACGTTGCGGTTTGCTCTTCTCCCTATTTTTGTGTAATTTTATTTGTCATTATTTTATTCATTTGTGTTCCGAATGGAAAGGGGCTTCAAGCCCGAGTCCCTAAGTTTCAGTAGCAGTGATGTTTTCTTTTACGGGGTGTGGTTGCTAGCCTCACGCTCAACCTTCCCACTTTGTCAGGCTTACAACCGGCAAGGGGAAGTAACGGTTTATGCCGGCTGGGAATCGATCCCCGAACTATGTACATGTTTGGCAAGCATTCTACTGCTGAACCACAGACGCACGTTTTTGTGTAAGCGAAGTGATATACATACTCCTCTGAATGCTCTCGACAAGTGTGTTTACATTCTTTTATTCCTATTTTCTTTATAATGTTTAATTTATTGTTATGCATCTCCTGATCCCCATAACTTACTGAAATTCCTATTGAATTATTCAGTACATTGTTCTTATTCATTTGGTGTGTCTCAGTAGCGTATTTATCACTTCTGCCCTGTGACACGGCAGCAGAAAGCGCGGTCGTTGTTAATCCGGGCCCCGACCGATCCGGCATGATATTTTGTGGATTTGTTTGAATCATAGTGTAGGATTGGGTAGCTGCTTTTTGTCTAACCGCTATCCAAACAACCTTTCTGGCATGGTAGGACCTACAGGAACATACGTTCCAGCCAGTGTAGCTCATTGGGTCATTGCGATATGCAAGCCCGACCACCACGTCAAGGTAGCAGCTATCGGTCGGGCAATGTTAGCTGATATAGGGCCAGGCTGGAAAAGAGCTAGCGGCGGTCAAACCAAAACATGGCACCAGTCAATGAAATCCACTACAGTTAGTCTAAGCCACGTAGGAAGGTGTAGACTTCCTGGTTGGGCTCCTCGGGAAGGTAAAAACCAATGGTTGGAAACAATTGGTGACATGGCTCAAAGTGATCGTTCTCAATGGCAGGCGCAGACGCATCCACTCCTTGTGACTCATGATTTCCAATTAAACTTTTGTTCTCCGTTATTACTATTCCTTTGTCTCACACCTCTGTTTACTGTCTATACTATGCATTTCTTCTACTTTCTCCTCTTACTTCGTGTGCTGCATGGAGTGTGGCGACTTGAACTGCCGCACATATGTGCAAAGTTCTATGTCGAAAACCGACCGACTGTATGTTACCATGCCTCATTAGATGATATTCTAGTAATAGTTTATAGAACCACGTACGTAAAGTATTCGGCCGAGTTCTAAGTCTGAACTTACTAAATTTTGATTTTGTTGTTGCTTATTTTATCAAAACATGTGTCACTAACTATTTCCTTATTAATTTTTGGTTCCCTTTCAATATAGTAGAAAATTCATCAAATATGTTAATAATGTTGAGGTAATAATCAATGAAATCTCCTTCAAGATTAACACAGTGAAAATGTGTCCGGTTCATTGAGTATTGTGAAGTGGAATTACACTAGTATAGTCATCGCCTAATTTCCTACTGAATAACACTTTCGATACAATCTAGAATTCATAAACAGTATACGAAATGAGTAGGCTTTGTAATATTGTTTGTGGTACAGTCAAGTTGAATATCATCTATTCAATCCAGCTTCTTCAAACAATGAAACTATTAGTTCTTCGGTTTCATAAAATCAGGTTTGTTTTTGGAGAAAATAAGCATTATATTAGATGGTTGGAGGCAATCGGTCACAGGAAGCCTTGGACCTAGGTATCATGCTTGTTGGCGCTCACTAGTCAGCAAGGCGTATCTGCTATCTTGAAGTTACTCTTGTTCCTTCTGAGATTCGAACCTGTGTTTTCCAGTGGTGCAGTCAGTCAGAGATGTTACCACCTATGACCTATTCGAACTCACGATTGACCTCCCGTAACTTACTTTACTTTACTTCGGCTATCTCCTACGGGAGGATGAGCCGGCTTCCTAAACAGAGTTCATGAAGTTTCATGGGAATTCGGTACGAGTGATGTCCCCAGAGTCGCTCGGCCTTTTGTTTGAGAGTGCAGCTCTAGCCTTTACACAACCAAGTGTGACCTACAAGGCAGTAGGAGTGGAGTAGGGAGTTCACTATCCATTGGCAGCCGGTGACCGGAGTTCGGTTCATACGCCTTTTTGAATGGGGCCAGACATCCAGGACATCCAACAAGCCCTTTGTCCATACGTCTGCCGGTGAGCTCCTGTGAGCTTCATACGCCAGTCGTTGGAGGTTTGGAATCAGGGTTTAGCCATCTCCCCTAGACTGTCATCCAATGGACAGTCAACCCGGTGAAGAGCGCCGGGCATCCGCTTTCGCCCTCTCACTTTGGTGAAAAACACCTCCGCCACGTGAAGGCAGTGAGTAGGACTTCCTCAGGAGAGGCTATGTAAGACGCCCGGTCATATAGGAGCATTTCAAGAGGTGTGCGGAGGGGTGGCCAACCCGCAGCGCAAGACACCCACCCCCGACTATCCTGAGGCTTTGGAGGCAACCTCCCGTAAGACTGTATTAGATACTTGGATTGGACACTAAGTAGTGTCATGCGGCTAGTGCACCCTGATGGAGAGATCCACCTGGGATGGTGACCATTTTGGAAATTTGACTGATAGAATTCAGTCTGCAACAAAAGCAAAGGACTAGACGCATGCCACTAGTTAGTATTCAGTCAAAAGGAAATCAGGTTATTAGCGGATTTCTCTGTAAAGGTAAATGAGAGGAACTGTGGTGTTGAGTGTTTGAGTAAATACAATTGCGTGGTTGTGGATCACATCATAAAACAGTTGAATGACAAATTAACAGGTTATATATATATATATATATATATATATATATATATATATATGTATATTATGAAGGTTGGCGATGCTATGCAGTTGTCAACCGCTTTTTTCGGATTGGTCTGCTTATCAAAGTGTGTTACTCGTTGAGTTTATTTTCACGAAGTCTATATATGTTTGATCATCTTTCTCTCAAACTGAAGCCCTATATATTTTTTTCTTTTTATAGAAAATTCTTCACAATCGCCAAAGAAGTCAGTTAAATTCGTTTAGACGTTCAGTAGGACAATTCTGTAGAGGTTTAAAAACATTTTCAACTCTATACAAAAGACAAAGATCAAAAACTGTTGGTTCTCATCGTAGTGCCTTATTCCACTCGAATCCAGTAAATACCTATGACATTTTGTCTCTTTTAATTCAAATTAGTGACAATTTCGCAAATTTCACTACTTTCCTTGTGTCACAAGTTGATAGTAAGTATCTGAATACTGATTTTTGATGTTTGAGGCTTTTTTCTTTTTCTTGGGCTACTTGAAACAGAAAGGGGATTATGGTTGCGTGATCGCACAACCCAGGTGACAACTGCTTGAGGCCAGTCACACACGGCCTCTTCAAGTTGTTTCCATATAGAGATGGTGTGTGTGTGGTGTGAGTCAGCTTGATTCCACACTGTATGTTTTTGGTACAGGTATGGAATTTTCAGCATGTGATATTGGTAGCCCAAATTTTGCAGGCCGACCATAGATATCAGGTGTGCATCGGCAGGGGATCGAACCCCGGACCATGTGCATGGTCGGCGAGAGTCCTAACCACTGTGCCACCAACGCACATTAGTAACTTGCCACCGGCTACGCATCACCGTTTGGTAAGTCGGGTTGTACAATTTTCGGGGTGAACCTTTTCCAAAGTCCTTTCTCGAAAGAGTGGAGAGGCAGCATAGCTGGCACTCTGGTCATATGAGGGGAAAAGCTTACTGCCGTTACATCCCTGTTCCCCAGTAGTGCTAATTTGCCCACATAGTGTAAACATCCTACACTATGCAGGTAAATGCTTTTAGTCTAGTCGCTATCCTAACAACCGTTCTGGCATGGTAAGACCTTCAGGAACATTGGTTCCAGTGTAGCTTGTTATTTCATTGTGATATGCTAGTCCAACCACCACCACCACCATATAAAAATAGCAGCTATCTGTCGAGATTTTTGGTGTTTCGTGGAATTTAACAATTGATGATAGCTTTTAGTTTTAAATGAACTAATTATTAGTTCCTCGTACCGTAAAGTTATGGAAGTATTAATAGTTTGTTAAACAATACGTAAATTTATTCAGCAAAGACTCTGAACTTGTATTTTCTCGGTTATCATATATAATAATTATGAAAATTTTAGGGCTGTTCTTAAAGCACTACGAAATATAACAGAGACTTTATCCTACCGAGCAAAACTCTTGCTTTCTAAGTTTGATCACGAGCTGAAATCACTTAGAGAACCATTTGGAAACCAACAGGGATTACTGGATGGCTGTTTCGTTCTAGTTTGGGTCTCTTCATCAGTACTCATCCGCCGCCAGGGTTCGAACCCATGACCTTTCGGTCCCAGGGAATGTTTGTAGACCATCCCACCACACTGCCGACATGCTAGACTTCACTAGTCACGACGTCTCAATAGAACTGCAGGCAACTTTGTCCTGTAGCTAGCATCGGATTAATTTTCAAGGATTAGTTTGCAGGGATTCGATTTGTTTGCAGTTTGATCACGAACTGACACCAGTTAGTTGGATATCCGTCAGTATTTTTTTAAAACATTAATATAACTTGACAGTCCATCAGTAGTAGTAGTAACGTTAATTAAGATTCAATTGAGGATTCGATTAAAATTTTCCCTCCAAAGGATACGAGTGGGTTTTGAAGTAGACTCTCAATGAGCAAAAAATGAGTCAGTTACTATTTTTTGTTTAAGTCAATTTCTGTTTTCCTGTTGATTAGGTGAACTGAGATGTTCGGCTTCTGTTGACACGTCGGCTCCCATTACAGACTCTACGATGGTTTCTGAAGATTAACACTTATATGTCATATGATGGGTAGTGACTAACAGTGGAATCCAGAACGAGTGTTTCGTCTCAGGTGGGACTCGTCCACTGGATGTACCTGCAATCAATCCCCAGTGAGTGATGGTGTTCCCATTGAGACTTCAACTGTATTCGATTGCTGGTCACCATAGATTCGATAACATGAGCGAAAAGCACCAACCCCAGTTTCGGCACACCTTGTTGCTCTTAAAGTAATGACATTCTGAATAAATACACGAATGAAGTGCAACTTGTTTATGTTTTCTACTGATTGTAGTTACTGCGTTATACATATAATAACGTTGCATGTGTGTCACTCTTGTGTTTTCTGTTTCTCCGCTTGGCAGTTCCTTCTACTATCCCCATGGATTCTCTCAGAGTCATGATCATTATGTTCAAGGTAAGCTCCCTTTGTTTTTCCCTTTGTATCTTTATAACCTTTGTCGAGAATATTGCAACTTTGAATATGACTTAGTAATGAATGCACAGTATGTGCCATACTGTATATTTAGTTTTATATTTATTAAGAAGGTTATTGAGAACGATGTTTTTATGACTGACTGGTTTCAACATAGAATTTTGCACAGAAGTGTGTACCAGTTCAAGTTACCACACTCCATGTATAGCACACAAAGCAAGACAAAAGAGAGAAAAAGAGATTCGAAAGAACGATAACATGCAGAAATGTGAGAGCGAGAAAGAATAGTAACATACAAAACCATAAGGGTTTAGTATGGATAATGCGACAGATCACAAACAATGAATGCATCTTCGCCATTGACAACGATTTCGAATCATATCACCAACTGCCTCCAGCCATTGATTCTTAGAATTCTAAGGACCCCAGTGGTTTCTAATTTCATTTATCCTGGATATTTTAGATATTTATGGAGAAATTTTTGAACGCTCTTTGATGTCATACATATATATTTAATGACTCTACGACTTCTTTTTCTTTTCCTCTTTTTCATAAAAGAGTCTTTACGCGGAAGTGGAAGGTTACTATCAAGTAATTAATCAGACTGTGACACCTGATCAAGCGATTGGATTACTATATGCTTTTAATTTAACTGATATTTATCAATCGGGGAATCATATATGGGATACAGTGTCCAAATATTCAGGTATGCGATATATGCGTTTACACTGTGGGTGTGTTTGTCTTGGGATATATCTCCTTTTTTTTTTTAAAAAAAAAACAAGTTTTTGATATAATATTCAATTATTTAAATGTTTCGCATTGTTATGTATGTTGTGACAAAACAGCTGTCGTCCAGCACTCCACTGCTGGTTTTCAATGATTCTCTAACTGATATCAATCAATCCTTTTGGTTAAAACTTGAAGAATCAGATTTTCTTGGCGATATTTTATAAATTTTTGTATCGATAAATTTTTTTTACTTTTCAGATCCTAATACTGCACAGCAACTGTTATCCATTGTGATACGTGCATACAAAAAATACGAAATAGACATTCCAAACGTTGAAGATATACCTTTATCCAAATTATTACATAATAACACTAACAATTCTCATCTCAAGGAGAAGTTCGATTTTAAATTTCTAAACAATCGGGTCAGTGAAAAGTTATCAAAGCAATCAGGTTATGAACAGTACTCAAAATTATTTCCGTTAGTGGATACTGTTAAAGAAATTACCAGTCTGTTTTTGGCTCTTTTAAAATTGCGTGTTCAACAATTTATGAAGGTGTATATTGAATTAGAAATCAATAATATTATTGAAGTACAATTGGAACAAACTCTTGTCAATGTGTTGACTAATTCAAAGGTGAAAGTGATTGCCGTCCGAGGAGGCGATAGCGCTGTAAAGCGTAAAATGAAGCCTACTGCTGGTATGGCTACCACTAAAAATCGATTGAAATACAGTCGTTCAGAATCACTCGTTGGACAACAGGAAATTATGGAGATGATACAAAAAATTGTTACAAATTTAGGTCCAGAAACATCAGACGAATTTGATATATTCGAAACTTCAGATAATCAAGCAGGAGTATCAACGTTTTTTATCATGGTAAGTTACCAATTGTTCCTATATATTTATTATTATTTTCTTTAATTCCTAGAGGAACATAGGGCTTCAGCCGAACGTCTCCATTGCCTTCAGGTTCTCCGCCAACGTTTTCATCACCTGGCTCCACGTCTGTCCACATGCTCTCATCACCTCCTCCATGTCACCCCACCCTCCCACTGACGACTAATTCGCCGCTTCCCAATCGGTAGGGTTCCACTCGACCGATGGTCTGGCGTGTGATAGATGTCACTCACTTGATGATTTGTTTTCTCAGAGTATAGTTAATACACCTCCATTTCCTCCTGCATATTTGTTGCACGATTGGTTCCTGCTGGGTTGGCTCGTTTCCAGAGATCACTCCCTGTTTCTGATGTTTTCTGACCGGCCATCTGATATTGAGCGAAGACAGCTGTTGATGAAGGTGTGTAGATTGTTCGAAGTGGCCTTTGTGACGTGGCGCCAAGTCTCTGAACCATCCGTATAGTAAGTAGCACTGACTTCACATTGGAGTTGGAAATCCGGATCTTATTTTTCATGGTGAGTGTTGTTGATCTCTATACAGACTTGAGAGTAATGAAAGCTTGGCTTGCTTTTCCGATCCTCGCTGATTTGATATCTTCATGAGTTCCGTCCGCCTGTAGTTGAAACGGTGCTTCCCAGGTCTGTAGGTTGGTAGGTAGAGGAGGTTACGTCTCTCAGATTCCTCCAATTTATTCTGATTGTAGTCTGTTGTTGATGTTAATGTTGGTGTTGGTGATTCTGTTGGCGAGGAATCTTCATCACCTTTGTTTTCTCTATGTTCATCTGAAGTCCTATCTTCTCTGGATGCTTCTTCTATCGCCAACTTGTTGCTTTTCTATATATATATATATGTAGTGATGGCGATGGTGTGAAGTCATTCGATGGCCTCTTCAACGTATGCCCAATCCATCTCCATTTTCTTTGGAATATTAGTTGATCAATCGTCTTTTGGTTGGTTTGTTGCCAGAGTGTCTTTTTGCTTATTCTTCCTGTCTGACTATTTGATCTTCAGTATGGAGCCAAGGCAGCTGTTGATGAAAGTCTGCAACCTGTTGGAAATCTTTTTCGTGACACGCAGAACAAGTTTCTGATCCGTATAAAAGGACTGACTGGATATTGGTGTTGAAAATCTGAATCTTGCTCCTTATGTTGAGTGCAGAAGATTTCCAAACTGGTTTCAGGTTGATGAAGGCTCATCTTGCCTTTCCAATTCTGACTGGTCGGCTTTGACATCTTCATCCGTGCTATCCGACTGCCTGTGGTTGAAACCATGCTTTCTAGATAAGCGAAGGAAGTAACCCCTGTCAAATCTCTCCCGTTGATGGTGATTGGTGTTGGTTGTTGTTGCTGTTGCTGTTCGTTGGTTATCTTCATCACCCCCGTCTTCTCTATGTTCACCTGCAGTCCTGTCTTCGCTGCCAGCCTCTTCAACCAGTTTGTTGATTTTCGCCAGCAAGTCTTCGAGTTTGTTTGACATTAGACATATATCATCCACGTGCGAAATCCATATCTTCTAGAGTCTTCTTATCGGTCGTCCAGCGTATTTCTGACTCCTCGCTCCCCATGCGCAGTCTGACGCATAATCCAGTCCACTACAATTAAGAATATCATCGGTGATAATAGGCAGGCAGCCCTGTCTCTTACTCCTGTGTTCACTCCGAACGCCTCGCTGATTTTCCCGTTGTTGATCACCTGACACGTGGCCTCATTGTCATATAGCCAGCTGTTGAATGAAGCTGATTAAGACTCGGGCACTGCACTACATAGTATTGAAGTAGTTTCCAAATTACTTCTCGGTCAACGCTGTCTGTCGAAGGCCTTTTCGAAGTCGATGAAGTTAAGGTAGGCAGAGTTTTGACTGCCATTCTATGCTTTGTTCTGTGATGACGGTGCGCTGATTTGCAATTTGATCAGCGTATGACTTGCCTTTCCTGAATCCAGCTTGTTCTGGCGAGCTGGTGGAGTTCTGCATCCAGTGCATCTTTTATTCTCTCCAGGATGATGCGACATAGTATTTTACTTGGCGTGGACAAGAGCATGATTCCACGCCAATCAGTTCTTGCAGAGTGAGGCGTAAGTCGCCTTTCTTTGGCAGCTTGACAAGGTAGCCAGCCTTTCTTCCAATCGGTAGGTACCTTTCCTTCTTTCTAAATCTTTTGTAATAAAATATCGTTATTATTATTAAATCGGTATTCATTTGGTCATCTTTTCCCCCTCTTATTTTGTTTTATCATATTCATAGCCTGGTGGACCAAAGAAGAAAGAAGAAAAGCGTGTACGAGAGCTGGAGAAAAACTATCAATTCACTTTCTCGCAGGGGAACAACGGAAATGATTAGAGTTTAATGCTTGTATGTATGTGCTTGTGTGTGTGTATACATGAACATTATTCAGTCAGTCAGCTGTTATTATTACTTCTATTATTTCATTCCAGTTGTTTGTCTGTTGTTGTGTTTTTTCTCTCTTTTTTTTTGATTTTTTCCCCTACTTTCTAATTTCCTAATTTTAATTAAAAATGTGTATTTTCCTGTGGGGGCGTTCTTTTTGAAAAAAGAAAAGAAAAGAAAGTGGTGTTAAACAAGGGTTGAGAATTCCTCCTGATGTCTGTTGTTGTTGTTACTGTTATCATCTTTTGTTCATAAAACTGTCCGGTTATCACAATCTTATTGTTCAAGTAATCTTACGTATTTGTATGTTTGTTTCTGACCTTGACAGTAGGTATATGAACGAAGAAGTCAAAGCGAATAGATTCATTGTACGGGGTATGCCATCCTCCTTATCTGTTATACACATGTCTGCTTAACTTATGACTACTTCTTTGTATATTATCTCTTTGTGTCTAACCAGTAAGTAAATCTCTCTCTCTCGCTCTGTGATGCCTTCATCCTTGAAGGCTTGTTCATAGGTAAAGAATTGAAATCACTTCTTCTCACAATAGTCCCATCTTGTTATCTTATTTATTTTAAAACTAAAAAAAAAAACAAACAGTGTACTAGTTACTTTTAATGCTGTTGTATTCTCATGTATTCATGAGGCTTATTTTGTTAACTTGAAATTTTTTATGTCAGATTACTGTATGTGTATACTTGATGGGAAAAACATAGTGTCTCTGCTACAAGGAAATATACATATATTTATCGAAAAGTTGTTTTATTGGTAATCTATCCATATATAATATAATATACATTATTGTTCCCTTGGGTTCTGAGTGGAACATAGGACTTCAACAGAATACCACCTCCATTTCAGCGTTTCTGCAGTCCTCTTCATCTGGCCTCACGACTACCTATAGGCCGTCGTCTCCTTGTCTCCACACAATCTCCTCCATGTGTCACTCTCGGGTGTCTAAGTCTTTGTTGTTTCCACTCGGGCGATGTAACCCAACGGTCTCCTCAGTGTGTGTGTACTTACTTACTTTACTTTACTTCGGCTATCTCCTACGGGAGGATGAGCCGGCTTCATGAACATCTCGAATCATCGCTGCCCAGGCGCGGCGATCTAATGCAAGGTTTTGCGACAGGGTTATCCAATTCTTGTTCCACAGACGAAGTCCGTAGACGGTTTGTAGCCCCAGGCACTCCATATCAGCCTTAACTGTACCAAGCCATGTTTTCAGCTGTCCGCCCCTGCGACATCGCCAAGATGGTAATGGCGAGGGATTTAGAACTGATTTGACCAGATCGTCATCTGGTCGGCGCAGAACATGGCCAAACCACCGAAGGCGACGTTGTTGGACCAGTACTGGAATTTGGTACGAGTGATGTCCCCAGAATCGCTCGGCCTTTTGTTTGAGAGTGCAGCTCTAGCCTTTACACAACCAAGTGTGACCTACAAGGCAGTAGGAGTGGAGTAGGGAGTCCACTATACATTGGCAGCCGGTGACCGGAGTTCGGTTCATACGCCTTTTTGAATGGGGCCAGACATCCAGGACATCCAACAAGCCCTTTGTCCATACGTCTGCCGGTGAGCTCCATTGAGCTTCATACGCTAGTCGTTGGAGGTTTGGAATCAGGGTTTAGCCATCTCCCCTAGACTGTCATCCAGTGGACAGTCAACCCGGTGAAGAGCGCCGGACATCCGCTTTCGCCCTCTCACTTTGGTGAAAAACAGTGTGTGTGTGTGTCGGATCCATTTTCTTCGGCATATACTTGTTGAACAATAGGTTCTGGATTGGTTCATCGTTCTCAGAGGTTCTTGTTGCTAATTCTTCCTGGCTAACAACCATCCGATCTTCAGAGGGTGGATGGAACCAACGAAGTGCGCAGCTGTTGATGTAAAATTTGAAGTGGCTTGTTGGAAAAGTGTGTTTTTGGGGTGTGTGTCAAGCTTTTAACCCCAATTTAGGAGAATTGACTTAACACTGGTGTTGAAAATCTGGATTTTTCTTCTTTATGTTTAGTGCAGTAGATTTGCAAACTGATATCAGAGTGATGAATGTCTGTTTTGCCTTTCTAATTCTGAATTTGACATCCTTTTGCGTTCTGTCGCCTGGAGTTGAGACGATACTGCCATCTGGATTAGTATGAAGGAAGTGACCTCTTTCAAATTTCTTTCGTTGATAGTGATTGCTGTTTGTTGTTGTGGTGGTTTCTTCGTTATTGTCATCACCTGCGTCTTCTCAATGTTCCCTTTGAAGTTGTCTTTGGTGCTTCTTCTGCTACTTTATTGGTCTTCGCCTGTGAGTATTCGAGTTTATGTGACATTAGACACAAATCATTCGTGAAGTTCAAATCTTCTAGATGACCCCAATATTACTGTTGAAGACATTTAACTGTTGCCACCCAGCAATAAATTTCACTCTTGAAATGGAAAACGAATCAACAATTCCGTTTCTTGATGTGGAACTAACAAGAATAACTGATGGAAGCCTAAGAAGATCGATCCATAGAAAAGCTACTTGGAATGGTCAACTAACAAGCTTCTATAGCTGGGTACCCATTTAACAAAATCGGAATTTAATTAAATCACTTGCCACCCGCATCCGTAGTTCCGATGTTCTAGAAACATAAGTAGATATTTTGAGAGAAATCTTCATCCAAAATGGATACCCAATAAGATTCATTGACACAAATATCAAACCGAGAATTTGGAGAAATGAAACTTCACTTGCGCCTAAAAGGAAACTCTACATGAACTTGGATTTCAAGGGAGATTTAACAAGCGATGTTCTCAAGAGAAGGATCACATCATCTCTGAGAAGAGCATTCTTTGCAGCAATGCTAGGAGTAGTGTTCTCCAGTTGCCCACTGATCTGCAGAAGCCTCAAGGACAAGATCCCGCATCTGACCACTTCTATGTGCAGTTCACCTGCTGCTGTGGAGCCAGGTACATCGGTCGTTAGACGCGCACCCTGTCCAAGAGGATTCAAGAACACTATTCAGAATGGTTGCGAAAAGGCAATAGTGGTGCAATAAGGGGTGGGATAATTGAACACCTGGTTAACACTGATCATTCCATCTCAACAAACGCCTCCTTCAAAGTAATCTACAGAGTCAAGAATAACCTACCAAAGGCAATGCGGTTTCGTCTTCTTTGTATCGCTGGAGCTCTGGCCATTCACATAGAAAAACCGGAGCTGTGCATACAAAATTACTCAACTACTTCTACTATCATGGTAACAACTCTGTTGATTTTCGCTGACTTAATTTTGTTTGTTTGCCGGTTTCTTTAATTGCTTGTAATTCTTGTGTTCATTTAGAACTCTTACGTGATTTCGTATTATCTACTTTGTTCCTATGTGTATCCTGAGTAAAAGTCAATCATCAAACTATTCATATTATTACATAACTTCTTTTAACAACTGTTTGTGACAACTCACCACCTTTGTTACTACCCTAATTTCATTAACACCTAATTTTCTTGACTAATTTTGTATTACGTAACTCCGATTACCAATCTTCACCTGTTTGGTTAAAATAACCATAACCAATTGTGTTTTTGCTTGACAAACTTAATGTACACATACATCCAAAATAACACATATATTTCAGTGTAGCAAAAATATTCATTCAGACATCTATGAAACACAAAATAATTGAGCAAAGAATATTCTTTTCGATAAATTCCTCTTCCAGGCTCTACAATTGTATATATGTTTATGTACACAGAATATTTTAAATTAGTAGTCAATAACGATATTAGCGTTTTTTTAAAATAATATCGATTTGTTAAGTAACATCTATGGAATTACAGTTCACTAAAGATGCTTAAATTATAATAGAAATAATAAAGATATAGTAGCAAATAGAATGTCAACTGAAATTAGGAAAATTCCACAAAAATTTAGGATCATTCTAACCTAGATGGCCAAGATAAGGATAATGTCTGAACTAACTTTTTTTGAATGCACAAATTAAGCTTGTTAATATGGATCCCAACAGCTTCAGCAATATTCAGTAGTCGAACTCTTAAGGCAAATTTGAGATTCGTTGGTGTGCGGTAAATGACCCTGAGGGCATGGTTAACATCAATCTTGTATTCTGTATCCACCAGATGAGATAGAACGGCTCTGAGAATAGATATTGTTTGTCCTTTACTTAACCACATAGGGTGATGTTCGGAAATTCGACGAAACACATGCCAAATTTTACGGCCTATGTAACTGGCTCACTCCACAGGAACAGTTAAATTGGTAGATACACATGGAAGAGGCGAAATTAGGCATTTCGTCTTTTACTCCCGAACGCAAGAGAGGAGTGGTTTTGAAGACAGCGTAATTCGGCAGCAGGGAATGCTCATTTTACCGCATTTCTAAGGTGCTGTGTTAGTATCTCGCTGATGTTGTCCCCAAGGAACTGTATTTGTAAGAATAAAGCCTTTTTAAGAACTGTTTGTACCTTGGGCTGTTTGGATTTTAGATTCATATTCTTACCAATAAACTTTTCTGGATAACCATTTTCACTCAGCAACCGTTTAATATTATTAAGTTCCTCATCAAGACATTCATTCATCCGAGCAAATTGCTCTTGCTCTGTGAACCAAGCACTTTATCATATTGTGCTTGTATTTCAAGAGCACAAAGCTGAAAAAATGAGTATACTGACCCGTTGATGTAGGTTTTCTATATACAATTCTTCTTATTGCGTCATATATATTTGCGATTGTACAGCTAGGAAAATGAATCCGCCGCCGGAAAGAGACTCTTCGCTGAACTACATGTTTTGTTTTCATTAAATCGTCTAGAGTCTTCTTATTGGTGCAACATGTCCCTGTCTTTTCGCTCCCCATACACAGTGTTCCGCATATAAATCAATTGACCACAATTAAGAATATAATGATGGTATTAGGAAGGTTTGTCTAGCTCCTGTCTTCACTTCAAAGACTTTTTCGAGTTTTCCGT